GCGGTAATAAGCGACGCCAAAGAAAAAAATAATGAGGAAAAAACAAATGAATGACTGTTTTCAAAACTCAAATGTACCAGCTAAATGAATAAATTTGAATTTGGAATTCTTAACCAAAGAGGAGATATTTCAGATCAAAGTGGTCAGTACGACAAAACGCTAATTTCATATGTAAGGACCCAATATTAAGGTAAAACATACTATATGTATTAACTTATCCTTACATTATCACACATTTATTTTTATTGATAACGAGGCTTCTTAGTCCTCTGAGGTGACAAGATCTTGGGGTTACAGAATCCACGTACCATGAGAAGGACTTTGCTCACGTATCACCCTTGTTCTTGTTCTATAAAAAGTTCAGTCATCACGAATTTCGCCTTGGCCCTAATCGAAGTAATCGTAAGATGGGAGGCTGCCGTAGTATTTCTGCACGTAGCATCCACACAATGTTTTACCACTTCTAAGACACCATAGGCATACTATCGGATTTCTTGTCATCTTCCCTGTGAATACTACAAGAGCAAAGTAATTGAAACCAAGGGAGTTCTGTTTCATTCATTACAGCCTAGTAGATCCACTGTTGATCATAGACTTCACCTTAGAGAGCTGCATAAATGGGATATTTAACATATCTGCTAGGGAGTGTAGAGGTAAACAGAACCATCTCTGTATATAAAGTGTCCGTAGAAAAGCCTTAAATAGGGGGGCGCCACTGTAGCTAGAGGGTAAATTTTAAAGAACAATTATAAATTTTTACTGCACAAACTTTTACCATAATTCTTTTTTATAATAATATTTTTTTTTTCAATTTTACTCCTCTAGTCACCACAAATATTAAATTCCTCAACTCAACACTTTACTCCGTCGACAACTGCTAAGTTCATTTCATACACTCTAGCTATTCTAGCGCTGTTGTGAAGAGTTTTTGAACTGTTATTTAATGCTTACAGGTGGACAATTTTTCAACTATTCTCCATGTTTGATGGTTCCAGCTGGTTCTCCTTACGTTTGCACTCCACGATAGCTGCAACGCTTGGCGGGCGGGTTGGCAACCGCAGTTTTTTTATTACTGAGTAACAACTGATAACAATCAGAAAGTTACTGCTGACCATCTCCAGTTTGATTTCCCTCTGTCGCGCCTTACGACACTCACGAGATGATATGCGGTACGAGGGCGGCACTGAAAATTTCGGGAATCAAGGAAGTGACGCAACATTACTATTTAAAAATGTATTTATTGCTTTTCGAAGTATTCTCCGCGAAATTTGACACATTTTTCCATACGATGGAACCAATCATTGAAGCAACCATTCCATTCGGAAGTTGGGGTCTCCAAAATGGCCGTTTTGTAGGCGTCCACAGCTTCTTCAGGTGATGAAAATCTCTGTCCACGCAATTTATTCTTTATTTTAGGGGAAGTATAGAAATCATTAGGGATTAGGTCGGGGCTGTACGGTGGATGGTCTAATAATTCTATGTTTTCTTGCTCTAAAAACTCTTTTATTCTGTGTGAACTCGCATTGTCGTGATGGAGGATGATGCGGCGGTTGCAGTTTTCTTTACGGAGTTCAGAAACGACCTGTGGCAAACAAATGCTAGCGTACCATTCTGCATTAACCGTTCTTTGTCGCTCAAGAGGAATAGTCGTAACATGGCCGGTTTTGGAGACAAACGTGGCCACCATTTTTTTTGCAACACTCCGTGAACGAACAATTTTTGTTGGCTTTATCTCATTTTCGAACACCCAAACTCGTGACTGGTTTTTTGTTTCGGGTTCGTACGCATATATCCAGGATTTGTCATCTGATACGATGTTGTATACAGCATTTGAGGATCCTGCGTGGAATCTTTCGAGAGTTCTGACGCACCAAGTAACGCGAGCCGCTTTTTGCTCTTCACAGAGCGAATGAGGTATCCATCGGCAAAACAACTTTTTTACACCTAATTGTTCATGCAAGATTATTTGTATTTGACTCATGCCAATGTCTAAAGTTGCCCGAATTTCGCGGTATGTCACATGTCGATGTTCCTCAATCAGCGTACGCACAGCATCAACCTTTTCTTGGGCGACTGCAGTTTTTGGACGACCTTGACGGGGATCATCACTGAGCTTGACACGTCCACGTTGAAATTCAGCAAACCAGCGATAAATTGTGGTTTTGGATGGGGCTTCATCACCAAATGCAGAAATCATCCGGTCAACACACTGTTTTTGTGTTAAACCACTTCGAAAGTCATAATAAATCATCGCTCTTGAATTTTCTCGAGTCAATTCCATTTTCTCAACGACTAAACAAGTTTGACAAAACCTTGTGACAAGACCGAGAATCTTTTTTTTAAATAAATAAATGATAATTGATTTTTAAAACCAAGGAGTTTTCAATTAAAAAGATTTTAATATGACAGGACCAGTGGAAATATTCCATTCCCGATACTTTTAGTGCAGCCTAGTATTTGAGTCGAGGTAAAATTTATTGAACTATTTTCTTATTTTCAGATAATGCACCACTCAAGTTCGGTGAATTAGTCAGTACCTCTAACACATTTGATGGGTCGGAGAAAGTAACTATTAAATGTAGTAACACAATTCTTTGGTCTATGAAAATTCCTAGTATATGTAAGTATAACTTCATTTTAAGTAAAAGTAAATTTATGTACCCACTTTAAACAATGTTTACTATTTTATGTATAATCAACATAAAAATTGGATATGAAGAAATTTTTTAATGTAAACCTAGTCAAAGCAAAGAACAACACACATCAGTTTTAAGCTTTTGGTTGTTTAAGTCTAATTTAATATAATGGATTTCCGCGAAATAACGCCTGATTCAATTAATAATTATCCTTGACTGTGTCTGGTCTATCACCAGAATATCAGGTTTATTCGCAAGAATATTCTGTCTATATTGGCCTGGTCCCAGTAGTCTGGCGCTGTTATTTTCAAGCACAGTTTCCCGGCAAAGACAATAATGCAATTTCCGATCCACAAGACCGTACCTCAGAGCGAGCTCCTAGTGTGTAATACTGGCTACCAGGTTGTGTCTGTGCAATTACTCAGAGCTAGAAGAGAAGAAAGTAAAATAAGAAGAAGTAGAGAAGAAAGCGCCGAAAAACCTTAGGGCTTTTCAGTGCTTTCTTCTTTATATATGTATAGGAGACATGCCTAGAGTGAGTCCCCGAGATGGCGATAAGCTCGACAGATGGGTCATCGTAAGTTGGAGGTAGTTTTTTTTGTAAAAGCCCGTGCTGCGCCTAATCTCTCCAATCATGTCGAATTTCCATCCCATCGCGTTACGTAAGTGAGAAAGAAAGGGTATCACTATAATCCTATCCTGCTCAGATCGCTAGCCCACGTTGAGTCAGATGTCGACGATTCCGTCCTTTTGAATGTATCTCACAGAACACCATTACTCCTAGCGGGGATGATTTTGATATTAAGGTTTATAGTATAATAAAGCTAAAACGACTCTAGGCACGCGCTAAGCTAAACGTAAGCGCCCAATCAGACTGCACTAGCGGATGCGGGGGCGGGCGCGGGCGCTCGGGTCTTGGCGTCTGCATATTCAGAGTGCCAAACGAGCTACGAGTGTCATTGCAAATGTGTTTGGTCGTTCTCAAACTTTGCTACGTATTTAGAAGACATGGATGAAGATTTGCTTTTATTAATGGAAAATTCATACTTGAAATGGAAATTGCAATATAGAAGTTTGGCACACACGATTTAAATAAAGGAAGAGAAGAGTTTGGAGAATTTTATGTATTATACGCTGATTTACGGACGTATCCCGATAAATTCTTTGAATACACGAGAATGTCATTAGACACTTGACTACATATTAAATAAGATCTCCGAGATCCATGTTTAGTCAAGATTGACATCAATTTATTTCTTCCCATAATTTATTTATTTATGGCCACCCTATTTAAATGTTACTGATGCTCTTGATGATGCATTGATTTGCTCTGCCAAATAGCAGTGCGATGTTGTACTGCAGATATAAATTCTTCCGTATTGATATCCATGATGATTGACGACGCTTCGGCGGGTGAATCAAAATGGTTTAGAACCACAAGCGTAGTCACCTAACAGACGCTAAATCACTGTGAACGATGCGAGCGGACCCAGCCATTAGAAACGCCCGCGCCGAGTGCGCCCGCGCCCGCCTCATGCAGACGCTCGGCTCGCGGGAGCACTCTGAATGCAACTGGCGTCTACATACATTTTGATTTACACGCGCCCGCGCTAGCACCCGCGCCCGCCTCCACTCTGAAAAAGTACTAAGACATACATTATGTAAATCGGGATAGGTAAAAAAGACGAGTGAGTGCTCTTGTGTAACTACTTAGACACTATAATTTTTCCTGCTTAGCTGCTAGCAAGTCTATATAGAAGTTGTTAACCCGGCTAAAATGAGTCATAAGACCATAATTATCGTCATATCACACTATTTTTGAATTAAATCCATAGAATAGTTCATAATGGGGAGAAAACAAAATAAATAAAGACATGGCCATAGGCATACATGCATAAATCTTGCATTACCTATCTCATTGTGGTAACAGATTTTGTCAAGTCTTTTCTCTAAAATGTTATTGATTATTATGCTCATATTTTATGGCTTCCCAAGCATGTCCTACCTCCAGAAACTTTTTTTTAATATTAGTAATCTTATTAATTAAAATTACTAATATTCCTTTTAACTGCTCCTCATAAGCCTAAACGCTTGTGTTAGGAGTGGTTCACCACAGTAGTCAAATGGCGGATTTGAACCCACGACCTTTGAGTTCGCGATCCGCGCCCTGCCATTAGGCTAATGTCGCTTATATAATATATAAGTTTATATAATGTATATTATACATATATATATTATTTATGAAGTGATTGATTACACCTGCCACAGTTTCTCAAATCATCCAGGGTTGACTGGCAGAGAATGCCATAAGGCATTAAGTCCGCCCTTTATATCCCTTAGTATATAAGGTGTATAATGAAGATTAAATAAATAAATAAATAAGCGACAGTAGCCCAATGATAGGTGACTTATAATAATTATGTCTTTACAATTGGTTTTAACATTTAAAATTTTAAAGATATCTCTTGTAATTAAACAACTAAAAAGCACACATGAAGCATATAAACTTATATGTGTATAGGTGGCGCTGTAGTCCAGTTATTAACAAAACCCTATGTGTGTCGACATATATATATACGAGATATACCACATAATAATTATATTATAATAATAATATTTTGTTGGTTTAGTGCCAAAAAGGATGATCACAAAGTTTGGACCCGATAGGTGGCACTGTGGTCGCGTTTATTAATTATTAAATTTTAAATTTACACTGAAAAAAATTCGGTTTCAATTTAGAGTAAAACTGAACGAGCCACCTACCGGAAAGGGCAGAAGAACGTCTGCCGCCATATTATGTACCTACCTATATAGATATTCTAAACAGCATTTATCGCCATACTGTTTGGACATTAAACTGTACCAATTTTGTTTCAGGTTGTTAAAGAAAATAGTGATGAATCAACAATTAGAACAATATCGTGATCCAAATATTTTTACGTAAATATTACCATGATTTATAATTGTTTCGTACATAGTTTCTGTATGTATTAGGTGATACTATGCGCAATGGATAAGAGTGAGATCAGGTTTATAGACAACTTCGCAATCTAGACATGGAGATTCATGGTAGCTCCATGATACGCCGCCATTTCAAGATTTTTTTGTTTGTAATAGTTAAGTTACAGTCTATATATGTATGTCCCACTGCTGGGTACATGCATACCTGAGAGGGTATTGATGTTTTTTTTAGGAAAATATATTAATATAAATCAAAGTATATGTGTACATATACTATTCAATAAATAAATACAATTAATAACAATTTAAAATAAATATTTGGTACCTATTTTACTTTGATTTTTGCACATTTTTCACAACTCACTTGAAGTTGATGTGCAATGCTAAAGTTTGACAGCCCTGTTCTTATCGTGCGCACCAACGACTACGAGGGCGGCACTGAAAATTTCGGGAATCAAGGAAGTGACCATCGGGGAGTGCTCTGAGGATGTTCGGATTAATCCCAGCCGCCAAATTTCGTGAACGCTACACCAAACCCTCCACACCTCTTTCTCCTTATTCAAAATTTTTTCCACGTACACCTCTCTGTGAATAGTTTACCACCGGCGATTTTTCGAACCATACACCGGGGACCTTCAAGAAAAGAGCTTACTCCTTTCTAAAGGGGGCAACGCACCCGCATCTCCTGTTGGTGGGGCGGTAGTCACTTACTCATGAGCCATCTCGTTTGCCCCTTCTTCTATAAAAAAAACAACATTACTATTTAAAAATGTATTTATTGCTTTTCGAAGTATTCTCCGCGAAATTTGACACATTTTTCCATACGATGGAACCAATCATTGAAGCAACCATTCCATTCGGAAGTTGGGATCTCCAAAATGGCCGTTTTGTAGGCGTCCACAGCTTCTTTAGGTGATGAAAATCTCTGTCCACGCAATTTATTCTTTATTTTAGGGAAAGTATAGAAATCATTAGGGCTTAGGTCGGGGCTGTACGGTGGATGGTCTAATAATTCTATGTTTTCTTGCTCTAAAAACACTTTTATTCTGTGTGTGGTGTGAGAACTCGCATTGTCATGATGGAGAATGATGCGGCGGTTGCAGTTCTCTCTACGGAGTTCAGAAACGACCTGTGGCAAACAAATGCTAGCATACCATTCTGCATTAACCGTTCTTTGTCGCTTAAGAGGAATAGTCGTAACATGGCCGGTTTTGGAGACAAACGTGGCCACCATTTTTTTTGCAACACCCCGTGAACGAACAATTTTTGTTGGCTTTAACTCATTTTCGAACACCCAAACTCTTGACTGGTTTTTTGTTTCGGGTTCGTACGCGTATATCCAGGATTCATCACCTGATACGATGTTGTATACAGCATTTGAGGATCCTGCGTGGAATCTTTCGAGAGTTCTGACCCACCAAGTAACGCGAGCCGCTTTTTGCTCTTCACAGAGCGAATGCGGTATCCATCGGCAAAACAACTTTTTTACACCTAATTGTTCATGCAAGATTATTTGTATTTGACTCATGCCAATGTCTAAAGTTGCCCGAATTTCGCGGTATGTCACATGTCGATCTTCCTCAATCAGCTTACGCACAGCATCAACGTTTTCTTGGGTGACTGCAGTTTTTGGACGACCTTGACGGGGATCATCACTGAGCTTGACACGTCCACGTTGAAATTCAGCAAACCAGCGATAAATTGTGGTTTTGGATGGGGCTTCATCACCAAATGCAGAAATCATCCGGTCAACACACTGTTTTTGTGTTAAACCACTTCGAAAGTCATAATAAATCATCGCTCTTGAATTTTCTCGAGTCAATTCCATTTTCTCAACGACTAAACAAGTTTGACAAAACCTTGTGACAAGACCGAGAATCTTTTTTTAAGTAACCTAAATGGTATTCGATTTTTAAAACCAAGGAGTTTTCAATTAAAAAGATTTTATATGACAGGAACAATGGAAATATTCCATTCCCGATACTTCTTTTGAACACCATATTCAACATTTAAAAAATCGTATCCGCAAACTTATATATGTTTTTAAAAATCTAAGACATGTAGTGCAACCATATCTTTTGAAACAGCTGTATCTTGCTCTGTGTGAATCTTTGTTAACTTATTGCATTTCTTGTTGGGGTGGGGCTCTAAAAACGCACATGGTTTCTTTAGAAAGGGCTCAACGAGCGCTTTTAAAGGTCTCCACTTTTAAACCATTTCAATATCCTACAATATTACTCTACAATAACTGCCAAGTACTAACTGTTCGCCAACTATTTGTTCTAAAAATTTATAAAAAAATATTTTTGCTTTCTTGGCCCATATTTATATAATAAAGTAAACAAAATTGTTCATATATACTATATGAATAAGCATGACTGCAACATTGCCCTCAGAAAATGGCTTCAACTAAAGTCTTATGAAGAAATGGAGAATTTGTTAACAGTACTTGCATAAGTGTTCATAGATGTCAATTCGTTACTTCTCTGCTAAATTTTTTTTTTCATCTGTGCATGTCTTTTAAATTCTAAGGATCTATTTTTTTTTTCTTTTTGTGTCACTTGTATTATTTCATTATATTTTGTGTATCTTATTTAAGGTTTTATGTAAGTGGGAAGAGCTTTGCTTAACCTAAAACACAGGGTTTACCCTAACTTAGGAAGCAAGTTCATTTTTAAGAACATATTTAGTATATAAGATGCATTGTTTGACTCCTACTCTGTATCACTTTCTATCTGAATAAATTATTATTATTATTATTATTATTATTACTTTTAGTGCAGCCTAGGTACACAGCCCCAATAGACGCCACATGCAAGGCGAACATTACCGTCAACACGTTAGACAAATACGTCTGACCTAAGAAAACGATCGCACGATCTACTTTAGTAGCGACCACATCCCTGACCCGTGAACATCTTGCTTGTGTCTCGTGAATTTTCGACAAAATAACGACGCGCAACATGGTTCACTGTACAATAAAATAGTGCGGAAATAGTAGCCAAATGTGTAATTTCCAAAAAAATAAATGGCATTACTTTTCATAGATAAGTGAATTTTAATTTCCGAATTCATTAATTAAAATTAAATCAGAGCTAAACCTATATTTGTCACAAGCAACTCGCGTTGATTTATTCGGACATCTTCTGATATTTTCGGACTATGCATCCCTTTCTTTTCGATGCAGTTCATTGTTGCTATACTTTTCTTTAATTACCGGCACGTGTAACTAGTACTGTACCAGTTAAACTATAATATTGGTACAAGTAACTATTATGCATGTTATCGTGAATGTTTTACAGACTTATACTATAAGCGACATAGGTGTAAGCTGAATTTCTTTAGTGAATGTACGTTAATCCATATTTGAATTAATTGATTTAATTATTAAATCAAAGTACCTGGATGATCGAGCTTTGCTCGGTTTTTTTTTTGGAAATTACATTTAGATACAAATTACATACTGATGAATAAGATTTTTTGATCTTATTGACATAATAGAAAAAACTGAACTGGTTATACTATAGTGTAAGTTGTTTTTGTAAAATTAGGTACTTAATTTTATTACAAAAGTTGTCTGATATTAAATTATTTTGGGAACAGATAAACTTATTTTATTTATTCAAATAATTAACCAACTAATTACATGTAGAACACGGCTGCATTTTATTCAACAATCTGTATTATACTGGATGACATTTTATACCGTCTGGAAAAAAATAGGGTGTAACATGTGAATTGTGAACGGAGTAGAAGCCTATGGCACTGATATGTTACATAAAGTAAAAACAAAAAATTTGGTTTGTGATAACACGCGTCTACAACAACCTTGATGCTCCGATCTGCAAGAACGCTGGTGATCCAATTGCTTTTTCCTTTCTTGATTCCTTAAGAAAGCATATCTACGGTTTTCATTCAATTAGCTCAGCCATGTGTTCTGAAGATTAGCTCGGACCAAATATAGACAAAAAAATGGTTATTTATGTCTTAATAGCAGGCAAAGAACACCTATTACGACAGATATTTCGATATTACAAACAGAAACTTAATTTTATTTATATGTGTTGAATATAGCAAGCTGCAGTCATATTATGTTGTAGCACGAGTAGGTCGGCTCCACCAGGGAAGGACCACGCTCTCACAGAATACCAGCGTAAAATTTTATCTTAATAATGCTGTGTTTGTTTTGATGAGTGTAAAGAACCGTAGACCTCTTTTACTGGAAATGAAGCATTCCATCTTAGTCCTCAGGGGTGACAACGCATCTGCATTTTGATTCTTAATGAGGTGGACTGTGCTCGTTTTGCATCCTCATTCTATAAAAGAAATATAATTTACACTCTAGGAAGTCAGAAGTAAATCTTGCCTGTCGGTTGTGTTGAAGAGACTGTGTGCGGGGTAAGAATAAGATTGGGTCTACTGACAACAATTTTCATGATATGCTGTTATTTGAAAATTATTATTTATTTTAAGCGAAATTCAACAAAATATTGCAACAACATAAAATATGTTACAAATTAAAACAATTTAAATCAAATTATATTTATTAATTGCATTTTAGATTGATAACTGCACATTCTACACAACATATATTTAAAACTCGTGTGCAATGCGAAGTGAAATATCAGTTCAACAGTTATATTCTTATCGTGCGCACATAGTATTACCATTGTTAAATAGTTTTATTTAAATAATTTTTGTATATTTGTGTAGTTGACACCATTGATAAGTTACTACGTCATATAATTGATATTATATATAATAGCCTAAGCGCTCGTCTTAATTTTTACAGTAGGTGAGCAACTCAGGTTCAATACCCGCAGCCGCCAATAACAGATTTATTGCAATTTTAAATGCTAAAACTTCGTGAAAGAAACCAGCATGTCTATGGAATAAAATATTTCGAGGACCTTCTGAAGTCCGC